CCATCAGAGCTGATTCGCTCCTCGTCCGGGTCAGACAAGGCCAACAGAGAACTGCCGTGCGTTAGCTCGGGGAATCTTAAATGTTGCTGTGTATTAAAAGTGCTTGGCGGGGGATTTATCTCTCCCCCTCGAACTCAACACCCACATCATATGATTGTTTATCTTAAATCCCCTCGGGTGTCTGACATTGAAATCGGCTTGGCGTGGGGGAGAGAACCGAAGGAAAAGGGGATGCCATCACCAGCGGGCGAGTGACTCTGGATTTATTTATTTTTACCATGCATGATAATGAATTGAATCCCCAATTCATGGTTGCTGCTTACAAGTCAGATTGGGGCCCATTGGCTGGATCTAGGAGGGCATTAGAATGTTGTATTATTTTATTGTTGTTAGCCACCCTAAGCCCGGCTTCGGCTGGGGAGGGCGGGATATAAATAAAATTTATTATTATTATTATTGTTATTATTATTATTATTATTGCAAAAAAAAGAGGCAGGGAAAATCAATTTGGGATGTCAAGCAAGTTATTCACACACACACACACACACACACACACACACGTATCATCAAAGAAGGCCACTGAATTTTCAAGATTTGAAATCCTGGTCCTACCCATCATTTGGGGGGGGGAGAATTTGCTGCACCCCAACTCCCCTCCCAAGGAGATTCAGTTGGTTAGGTCCAGGGGAGGAGTTGCTGTGGTCAGGGGGCTCATTTGAGCCAATTGGCATGGGGAGCATGGCTATTTAAGCCTGCTCCTTCCCCAAACTCTTCACTCCGACCCTTCCAGTGCCCTTCCAATATGCCCTTCCAAGTTCCTTCCAATGTTTTCCACCTCACCTAGCATAGAGAAAGACCCTGAGTTTGGCAAGCTAAAAATGATTTACTTGCAAACTCTGCAAAGGTCAGATTCGTGTGCTTTTACATACAGGAGTCAGAAAACACAGGCAGTAAAACTTAGGTTAGTTCCAAAGTGGGGAACTTCCTGAATTTATTGTATAGGAGCACAAGGATGGCTTGCAGGAAGCCATATGGTCTGAGCTTGGATCAACTAGCTCAGACCTCTTTACACGTCAGAGTTCACATTGTAGCCTGAGGGAAACAATAGGCTTGATTTCATTCCTCCCAAGGCGAGGGGGAAGACGCTAGCTAAGCCTGCCAGGACAGCTTACTCTATGGCATTAACCCCTTGTGCATCAACCAGACAAGCATTTTAGTTCTATGAGGCTGGTCACCCTACGCCCTCTGTCCCTCCATATGCAGTAAGGGCTCTGCTTGTCGCCTGTTCTGGGAGCTTAAGAGGAATTTTTTTGGTGAGCCTTTAATTTATGGAACTCTCCTTTATTGCATACTTCATACTGCAGGGAGGTTTCTTTTTGCTGGAGTGGCATTGTTTGATTGGCGTAGGCCCATTTTTATGTTGTCTCAATTCTATTATACACTAATTACTTTTTAACTACATGCAGGTCTCGTTTTCCGAACACAACGCATTCCCTAGAAACTGATCATTAGGTGAGCGTTCACATAACAAGTTGGAGAATTCCATTGATTCCTATGGGGAAATTTCCAATATGTTCCTACAGAATTTTGACTCATGAAAAGAAGAGGAAGAAAAAACCAGGAAAACCCAGAGAAACCCTCTGAAACCTTACTAAAATACAGATCGCTAAAGTTCCTCAGCCAACCAGCAAAAAGCAAACAAAGAAGTAAAAAATTCTGAATCTGCAGTGTGTATAGCAAAGTTGGGAGTACGAATTCCTCGTCTTCTGATAAGTGAATTTACGCATTGTGAGTGTTAGGGAAACATGACCTATGTATATTATCTTTTATATGTTTTTAGCCTTCTGAACTTTATCTGTGCTTTATTTTGTGTAAGCTACCTTGACTACCCGTCTGGGGAAAAGGTGGGATAACAACAACGAAAACAACAACATTGCACAGGATTGGATTAGATGACCCTTGTGATCTCTTCCAGATCTACTGTTCCATGATTCCATTTTAACCAACCAGTATTTATCCATGCTTACATCTTTAGATTTTGTATGCTGCATGCCATCTTCCTGTATGTCTATGAAAGTATAGTCGATACATATTTCAATAAGCAAACTTTTTTTTTTAAAATGAAAAACATGTTGGGGAGATGATATCAGAAAACACGGCTGCTTGCATTCGAATCACTGCTCTTGCCCTTGAAAATCCACACACACAAACCTCCCCCAATATAGTGACCTCATTTTTATGCACACTTCCAAGTCTGATGCAGATACAAATCCAGATTGCAGAAGAGCAGAGGTCTCCCCCCCCCCCCTTTTAAAATAGAAGCACTACCAGGGGCAAACCAAGCCAAGATATCCGATGATTTTCTCCCGTCCTCCGCAGGCAGGTTGGCCCAGAATGAGTGGAGAGAGCAGCAGCCGGAGAAAGGGAAAGACAATCAGCTTGTTGGGCAGGGTTAAACTCCTGTCATTTCCCCCCATCCCCCGAAAAGACTTAATGGGTTTCTAGATAAATGGACCTACGGCTCCAGCAGCTGACCAGGTGACCTGAAACTAAATGGCGTTTGACACAGACTGCTAATGCACAAGCTCCTACTCTCTTTCCTTTTCTTTCTGTGCGTTGGGTCAGTTCCACCACCACCCCTTCCGCCGTTGATCGTTCCATCTCTCCGCTGCGTACCTACATATGTCAAATTTGGGACCACCCCGCAAAGTTTCAGGTTGCTGGAGTTCCATCATCATCATCATCATCATCATCATCATCATCATCATCATTTATTATTTGTAGCCTGCCCATCTGGCTGGGATTCCCCAGCCACTCTGGGCATCTCCCAACAGAACATTAAAAACACAATAAAATACCAAACATTAAAAACATCCCTAAACAGGGCTGCCTTCAGATGTCTTCTAAAAGTCAGATACAGTGGTACCTCGGGTTAAGTACTTAATTCGTTCTGGAGGTCTGTTCTTAACCTGAAACTCTTCTTAACCGGAAGCATCACTTTAGCTAGTGGGGCCTCCTGCTGCTGCCGCGCCACCAGAGCACGATTTCTGTTCTCATCCTGAAGCAAAGTTCTTAACCTGAAGCACTATTTCTGGGTTAGCGGAGTCTGTAACCTGAAGCGTATGTAACCTGAAGCATATGTAACCCGAGGTACCACTATAGTTGTTTATTTCCTTGACATCTGATGGGAGGGCGTTCTGCAGGGCGGGCACCACTACCAAGAAGGCCCTCTCCCTGGTTCCCCGCAACCTCACTTATCGCAGGGAGGGAACTGCCAGAAGGCCCTCGGAGCTGGACCTCAGTGTCCGGGCTGGACGATGGGGCTGGAACTGCACTTTCAGGTATACTGGGCCGAGGCCGTTTAGGGCTTTAAAGGTGAGCACCAACACTTTGAATTGTGCTCAAAAACGTACTGGGAGCCAACGTATGGTCTCTGCGGCCACTCCCAGTCACCAGTCTTTCAAGCTGGAAGATGCACTGCACTCTTAAAAACCTTCTAAAGATCCTAGGCATGTTTCTTTGAAAGCAATGTCCCACTAACTTATTCAGGAGCGAATCCCTTTAAATTAACAGGCCTCCGTTAGCCAGGCCCATTAACTTCAACAACTCTAGGTACAATTAAATGTTGAATCTACACAACCACCCTGTGGTTGGAAGGGATCCCAAGGGTTTTAATTATTATTAAAATTTGTATGCCATCCTATATCTGCAGATCTCAGGGCTGTTCCCAGCATAAAAACACACTAAAAAACCACAGAATACATAATTAAAATATGTATGGCAGCACCTACACTTGGCCACTCCCTGCCTATTGATAACAAGCAGGCGTCTTCGCCATATTCTGAAAGTTTTTAATTATTTGTTGTCCATTTTTATTGAGAATTTTATTGTTTTGTCCTTTGTGTAAACTGCTTTGAGTTTGTTTGTTCGTTTGTTTGTTTCACAATCAAGCAGAGGGTAAATTTTACGAAACAAGGAAACAAATGAAAGGTGCCCTTCAGGTGTGATTTTGGGGGCCGGTCACTCACTCCCAGCCTAACCTACTTCACAGGGTGGCTGGGAGGGCAAAATGGGAAGGAGGGAGGAAGCCACTTCTGACGTAGAAGGAAGTGGGGTTGCGGTCTTCACCTTCCCACCATGCACGCGGGGGCTGGCTCTCAGCCTCCTTGCGATTGAGGGAATCCCGATCGCATCATCCCCTGACCAGCCAATCGGCTTGCCTGGGGGCGTGGCCTGCTCCATTAATGCAGGGGCAGCCTGGGATCTCCCTCTTTGCTGCTTCCAGCTACTCCAGTTTCCCACCCTCCCTCCCTTTAAGGTTTTCTGTCTTTGACCTTGCTATGGACCTTGGTTGGTCGCCGTTAAGGGGCCTGGTAGGAATTTTTCCACTTGGCAAACTGGCACCAGCCACTTGGTTTTTCGCCTACCTCGTAGCAAATTGTCACAACTTCCTTGGTATTGGCGGTTGGGCATTGGTATTGGTATTGTTATGTAGATGGAAGGGGGGAGGAAGCGCCATCACCTGCCCCGCATATTGAAGGGTAGTCCGATAAAGGATTCCGAGGGGCGTGGTCCTGTCCGAAGCCTATGGAGGTGAGGGCCTAAGGCACGCCCCCAAGCGGTGACCCCGGGGGAGTTCCTAGCTGATGTGCATCAGCAGGACTCCCCTACTGGTGGTTAACCCTTGCCGGACTTCAAGCGAACAGGCTGAAGCCGGATAATCGGTTAGGACCAATGCCTGAGCCAATACTGCTCATCACCTGTAACCAATAAAGTTGTGGCCATATTTAGCCCATCAACCTTAAATATCTGTGTCATGTGTCTTTATTACCACTGGGGGGGAGGTGGGAACTTGCCACACAACTACATTTACCACCTTGAGCTCCTTAGAGGTGATATAGAAACAGAGCGAGTAAATAATGAAGGAAACTCTCACAAAACAAACCGAAACAGCAGTTTCAAGGGATTTTTGGAGGGCGAAGGAGGATTGGCTCGCTTACCCGGTACCACACTATTTCTCGCATCCTGCCATCCGTCTTGAAGTTGCATTTCAAAGTGACGGCATCCCCAACCACCACAGGTGGGAGCGGCTCGATGCTGACTGTCAGGTAACCTGAGACACAAGAAAAGATGGAAGGAGACAGGTGAGAATGCGAGAACCACCTTGAAAGGTTTCTGCCCTCTCTTGGGAGCTCTTGACGTCGATGGGCTGCTGGAACCTCAGTTGCCCCCCAGAATGAAAACCACACAAGATTTGTGGTTGTCGCTTTAGTTTAAAAATGTATGGAGTTGACCATTACCTGAAGAAAAACAACAACAACACATAAATTACCGTATTTTCGCTCTATAAGACGCACCAGACCACAAGACGCACCTACCGTATTTTTCGGACTATTGGACACACCGGTCCATAGGACGCACCTAGATTTGGGGGGGGGAAATAAAGGCAAAAAAAATTTATTCCCCCCCCCGCCAGGCGCGGGGCTGGGGCGGGGAAGCCCGAGCTTCCCCCTCCCCCAGAACGGGACCCAGAGCCATGCCGAAGCTGCGCGCAGCTTTGGCATCGCTCTGGGAGCTTGCGGGGCTGGGGGAGGAGGAAGCCTTCCGCCAGCCTCCAAACCATGTCGGGAGACAGCGGGATGGCGCGCTGCGCCTCTCCCGCTGTCCCCCGAGTTTGCGGGGCTGGGCCAGCCTTCTAACCAAGTCGGGGGACAGCGGGAAGGGCGCGCTGCGCCCCTGCCGCTGTCTCCCGAGTTTGCGGGGCTGGCGACGGGGAGGAGCAGGCTTCTCCCCCCGCCAGCCTTCTAGACAAGTCGGGGGACAGCGGCAAAGGCGCGCTGCGCCTCTCCCGCTGTCCCCCGAGTTTGCGGGGCTGGCGACGGGGAGGAGCAGGCTTCTCCCCCCGCCAGCCTTCCAGCCAAGTCGGGGGGGGGAGCGGCAAGGGCGCGCTGCGCCTCTCCCGCTGTCCCCCGAGTTTGCGGGGCTGGCGACAGGGAGGAGCAGGCTTCTCCCCCCGCCAGCCTTCTAGCCAAGTCGGGGGACAGCGGGAAGGGCGCGCTGCGCCTCTCCCGCTGTCCCCCGAGCTTGTGGGGCTGGCGGTGGGGCTCTCCTGAAGCCTGGAGGTTGTGGGGCTGGTGGGGGGAGAAGCAGGCTTGCTTCTCCCACCCCCAGCCTCCAGATCAGGTCGGGGAATAGCGGGATGGCGGAGCACCGCCATCCCGCTATTCCACGACCTGATCTGGAGGTTGTGGGGCTGGGGGGGAGAAGCAGGCTTGCTTCTCCGCCCCCAGGCTCCAGTTCAGGTCGGGGAATAGCGGGATGGCGGAGCGCCGCCATCCCGCTATTTCCCGACCTTGATCTGGAGGTTGTGGGGCTGGGGGGGGGAGAAAGCAGGCTTGCTTCTCCCACCCCCAGCCTCCAGTTCAGGTCGGGGAATAGCGGGATGGCGGAGCGCCGCCATCCCGCTATTCCACGACCTGATCTGGGAGGTTGTGGGCTGGGGGGGGGAGAAGCAGGCTTGCTTCTCCCACCCCCAGCCTCCAGATCAGGTCGGGGAATAGCGGGATGGCGGAGCGCCGCCATCCCGCTATTCCCCGACCTGATCTGGAGGTTGTGGGCTGGGGGGGGGAGAAGCAGGCTTGCTTCTCCCACCCCCAGCCTCCAGATCAGGTCGGGGAATAGCGGGATGGCGGAGCGCCGCCATCCCGCTATTTCCCGACCTGATCTGGAGGTTGTGGGGCTGGGGGGGGGGAGAAAGCAGGCTTGCTTCTCCCACCCCCAGCCTCCAGATCAGGTCGGGGAATAGCGGGATGGCGGAGCGGGATGGCGGCCAGCCTCCAGATCAGGTCGGGAATAGCGGGTGGCGGCTCTGCGCCTCCCCGCTGTCCCCAGCTTTTGGGTGCAGGCTGCTGCCCGCAAGCCTTGCGAGCCCGCGGGAACATCCCGCCGGGGCTTGGCAAGACTTGGGATAGCTTCCTGAAGCCTGGTAGGAGCGAGAGGGGTCGGTGCGCACGGACCCCTCTCGCTCTCCAGGCTTCAGCAAAAGCCTGCATTCGCACCATAGACGCACACACATTTCCCCTTCATTTTTGGAGGGGAAAAAGTGCGTCCTATAGTGCGAAAAATACGGTAGATTTTATTTTGCTCCCGAGCCTGGCCTTGAAATACACAAATACAAAGATACATTTATTTAAACATCTGCCTGCCCTGAATAGATATCATTTGCAGTAATAAAGATGGGATAATGCGTAAGAAACATAATCAACATACATAACAAAGCACTAAAATCTATCTCATCCAATAAGTTATTAGTGCCAACAAGAGACACATTTGGCAGAAAATGTCTACTTTCCCCTAAAGATCCTCCTTAACTTTAGTAATTAAAGTTTTTGTTAAAGAATCAATCTCTTTATCTTTCTAGCATATCAACCTAACATTCTTTCTGATGGAATTCCAATGAAATCCATCAGAAATGAAGCTGCCTTATAGTCTATGGCCACATAATGAAGAAAGGCATTCAGATATGATAAAGGACTATCATGGGAGGTGGTTTCTATTCCTCATCAGTCTCAATTCCATTTGCAAGGAGTGTGGTATGCTAACCACTGGACCTCTCCTGTCTAAACTCGAGCTTTCTTCACACACACAAAAATACATATAGATGGAATCCAATTGATTCCTTTGCACACAGAAGGGTTTTTGATGGGAGAGAAAGGGGGACTATTTGTGTTGATAGAAGGGGAAGAAATGGAGGCAGTGAGAGATTTTACTTTCTTGGGCTCCATGATCACTGCAGATGGTGACAGCGGCCACGAAATTAAAAGACGCCTGCTTCTTGGGAGAAAAGCAGTGACAAACCTAGACAGCATCTTAAAAAGCAGAGACATCACCTTGCCAACAAAGGTCCGTATAGTTAAAGCTATGGCTTTCCCAGTAGTGATGTATGGAAGTGAGATCTGGACCATAAAGAAGACTGATCATCAAAGAATTGATGCTTTTGAATTATGGTGCTGGAGGAGACTCTTGAGAGTCCCATGGACTGCAAGAAGATCAAACCTATCCATTCTTAAGGAAATCAGCCCTGAGTGCTCACTGGAAGGACAGATCCTGAAGCTGAGGCTCCAATACTTTGGCCACCTCATGAGAAGAGAACACCCCCTGGAAAAGACCCTGTTGTTGGGAAAAATTGAGGGCACTAGGAGAAGGGGACGACAGAGGACGAGATGGTTGGATAGTGTTCTCGAAGCTACCAGCATGAGTTTGACCAAACTGCGGGAGGCGTTCTGGGAAATGATCTATAATGAACTGAAAAAAGTATTTAAGTACACCTTCTTGAAGAAACCAGAGGCCTTTCTCCTGGGCATAGTCGGCCAATTGGTGTCAAAGAAGGACAGAACTTTCTTTATGTATGCTACAGCAGCAGCAAGAATACTTATCGCAAAGCATTGGAAGACGCAAGTTCTACCCACTCTGGAAGAATGGCAGATGCAAGTAATAGACTATATGGAACTGGCAGAAATGACCGGCAGAATCCGAGATCAAGGAGAGGAGCAGGTGGAAGAGGACTGCAAGAAGTTTAAAATTTATCTTCAAAAATATTGTAAAATTTATGAATGCTAAGGGCTCTGAAAATGAAATGAAGGGGTTTTAGCGATTAAGTTAAATAGACTGTAAAGAGATGGACAAAGGCTTAAAAATGAATAACTAATGATCTTGCTGAATTAATTTTTAAAATAGAATACAAGAAGGGAAGGCGGGTGGAAGTAAAGAGAATAAGGTTCTGAAAGTTATCAAAATGAAAGAGTGTTCTTTTTATGCTATACTTTTTTCTGTATTCTTTTTTGTATTTTTTCCTCTTTTTTGATGTTTTATTGTTTGGATTTTTGAGGTTTGTCTGTTCTTTTTTGTGGTTTTTTTCTGTTTGGTTGTTAATTCTTTGGAATTTCTAATAAAATATTATTATAAAAAAAAACAAACTGCGGGTGGCAGTGGAAGACAGGAATGCCTGGCATGCTCTGGTCCATGGGGTCACAAAGAGTCGGACACGACTAAACAACAACAACGTAAGAACATAGCAAGACTCTGCTGAATCAGGCCAATGGCCCATCCGGACTAGTAGCCTCTTTTCACAGTGGCCAACCAGATGCCTGTGGAAAACCCACAAGATGTACCTGAGAACCCATTCACCCTCTTCCTTGTAGCACCCTGGGCCCCTGAGAGTGGTGGGACATTCCTAAACAGAACGGAGGGGGAAATTGCCTCCCCTCCTCCTTCATAAGAAGATGCTTTCGGTAGGTTGTCTCAGACATTTATGCCTTCCAATAATTACCTATCGGATGGATCCCACTTATCTTACAAGAGGGATTCACCAGCAACTTAACCTTCATTGGTCATGCAATTGCCTCCTTTTCATCCAGGTTTTGATCCCATCATTCATGGCAGATGTGGTCTCTGCTTGCCAGGCACTTCTGATCATTTAGCAATGGCATGAGGTTTATTTATTTTTTAAGTTTTAACTTATTAAGATATTGTGAAAGGACAAAGGCAGTCAAAAAGGCTTCAAGAAGGGGCAACATTTTAGCCAAATCTGAAGGCGGGGGCTTCATATTGCACACAAACTGTAGAGTATGTGGTATTTATTATTAATGAATTTGATAGATGTTAAACTTCCAAATTCATTTAAAAAAAGGATAAGTTCCTGTAATGTTAATGTTGTTGTTTAGTTCGTGTCCAACTTCTTCGTGACCCCCATGGGACCAGAGCACGCAGGCACATTCTGTATTCCACTGCCTCCCGCAGTTTAGTCAAACTCATGCTGGTAGCTTCGAGAAACACTGGCTGTATGCTGGCTCCCCTCGGCCAATAAAGCGAGTTGAGCGCCGCAACCCGCAGGTTGTTTCGCCGACTGGACCTAATGGTCAGGGATCCCTTTACCTTTACTTTAAAACCATTCCAAACAGACAAGAACTGCATAAATTCAACAAAAGAGGCTGGGTCCCACAAAACACCTTGATTATCAAAGAATGAGAGGCTGGCACCAAATATAACCACCTCTCCTGGTTCCCCTCTGCAGATCTTAACACCTGAGAAGGTCAGAAGCAATTCTACAAGCAG